GCTGCATGGCATGGGAAAGGAAGAGCCCTCCATGCATTTTGCCACATAACCCCCCTCCCCTGCTGCTGAGCCCTGAGTCAAGGCTGTAAAAAGTCAAAGAGGAGTGTGAAGATTTAAATAGTAAATAAATAATAAATAATATACATAGAAAGGGAAAGGGGGGGGGGAACAATGATAACTGAAACTTTTTTTTGGTATTTTGTGTTGCATAATTCAATGTGGCACTTGGAATTTTTAGTGCACCACCCCTTGTGGTAGGTTGACTTAGGATGAAGATTTAAATCCAACAATGGAAAAAAAAAAAAAAAACAAACAAACAAACAAACAAACAAAAAACAAATCCAAATGCAAAGAAACCAAAAATCGAAAATAAAAATTAAAAAAGTTATTAGGAGCATGAGAAAAGCTATTAGGAGGAACACAGGATAAATGAGGTTGACTATGCTCGTCTTTTTTTCTTTCTGTTTTTTTTTCTTTTTGTTTTGTCGTAGTGGTTTACAGTTTTTAAATAGGAGGTAAGAGTTTTTGTGCATTTGAAAACAATACATGCAGTTATTCATTGATTGACTTTTTTGGGTTTTGCCAAAAAGATTGTTGTGGTTTGTTGGTATGAGCCTTTTTTGTGAAAGAATAATATGCACGGAGTGCAATTTAGTTTTTTTAAAAAGCACAAAAGTACTTGAACTTTTTATTTTGTTACAAACATGACATGGTAGAAATTAGATTATGTATATTGTAAAGTTCATTTATTCAATTGCCTAAAGTTTTACATTATCATGTAAAACATTCAATTGTACTTCCCCTCTAGAAACGAAAAAATAAAATAAAATAAATTGATGTATATGATGCTTAAAAAACAACAAGATTCAAAACAAGTGGGCATTTAAAGGAATTTACCAATGGCATTTGTTACCTTATATAAAAAAATGTAGTTGAAGTTAAACTGTATGGGATGCAAGCAAGCTTCACATACAATACCATATTTTTGTAATGTATTTTTTTATTTATTTATTACATTGACATGGTGTGATCTATATTTAACTATTATGTGTTCTCAGCACATACTCACCACTAGTAAATTATACATATGTGATAAACATTGTGTATTGTAGGATTTTACACACAAAGTTGGCTGTGCACAATATTTTTAATGTTTACATGCTCATGTCTTCATTTCAATATACATTTTCCATATAGAATAGCTGAAATTTTAAATTTAATTTTTTTTTATTTTTTTATTTTTTTAGAATTCTACATACTGTTAAAAAAAAATGTTGAATTATTGCACACACCAAAATTCATCAATAATGTGGTGCAATAATTCAACATATGTTGTTATAATTCTACTGCAAGACATTTGATATATTTCATCTTCAAATTACTATATTTCAGACATGTTTAATGGTGTTGTGAGCAAATACAAAACAACAAAACAACAAAAAATTGAGAGGTTTGGAAGATATAAAATACATACTGTGTGATAAATTTTTGAACCGAGAAGTACCTGGCTAATTTCGAAAACAATCATTGACATTATCGAAGTTCCTTATTAATTATTTATTATTCCTTTTTTAAATTTCTTACTTATTTTTACTAAAACACCTAAACTTAAGAGGAAATTAAATGAAAAATATTAAGAGAAATCAATGTAATATAAAATCCTATAAATAAATGTATAATATGATGTTAAAAGTTCTTTAAAATGAATCTTGTTGTATGTTTGTGACATCCATATTCTTCTTGGATTTTTTGTTTGTTGTGTGGAATGTTTATCCTGGCTTGTGTAGATGGTTAGATACTCTTGAGCAATCTTGTGCTTCATTTTTTTAATTTAATCTTCATCTCTTCCCAAGTTTAAACTTTGGTAGTATTGTTTATAAAACTTTAATGTTGAATATTTGAAAACAATATATATATATATATATATATATTTGTAACATCTTAGTAAAATCAACTGCAATCATATGCACAGTTAGTAATAATTATTTACAAACAGGAAATGCAATTTGAATATCTTAAATCATTTATACTTTCTAATTTCTGTTTTCGTGATGTTGCAATAGGTTCACATCACATTGATTTTTGTAGGATTTTTGTCACAACATAAACTACTATTTATAGATAAATTGCTTATGGTGGAATGTAGGAATTCAAATTAGTCAGTGTTAATGAACATGAGACAAGTTTTTCATGCAAAAAAATCAGAAAGTAATGACAATCAGGTACTTTAAATGGTTTTTGAAACTTTTCAAAGCCTCAAAAGGTTTGATCCATTGATTTTTTTTTTTGTAAATGATATATTTCTTTAAATAAGATTCTTTGGCTATATATATTGAACTGTACATAGATGCATGGTAAAAAAAGAAAACGTCATGTATTGTCTAAGTTTAAAACTATACAATTCTATTTTATTTTTGTTCTCAATTGTATAAAATTACAAGTGCATATTTGTAGTCTTCTGCAGGTACTTAAAGTTTTTGAAAATAAAATCATTTCAATATTTTTAAATTCTGATGAACAAAATGAAATTTTTACTATCATCATACCATCTTATCCTCATATCATCATACCATCTTCCCATCATATCATCGTAGCTTTATTTTTTAAGTATTCAAAATACACTTAGAAAAATCCTCTTTAACAACATTGAGTTTGGAGACTAGGAATCACTTATGGAAACATTTTCTATTTTGCCTGGCAAAACAACAAAGCTCATCTTGATATGGGCACACAAAACATCACAATGTGTAGGATCCATAATCATTTTTTTATGACTTGAAGCTTGGATACAAAGAAGAAAGGCTATCACTTGCATCTCTTCATTGGCATTGGCAATGGAAGCTCCTGCCTGCCATACTCTCAGCTACAAAATGGGCAGCCACAAAACCTCATCATAGTCAGCTCAATGCATAATTTCCAACTCAGTTTAGTTTGTATGTTTTGATTTGTGTTCTTTTTGTTGTTGTTGTTGTTGCTGTGTCCATGTTTTTTTTTTTAAGTGTAGATAAATGAATAAACAAAACCAAAATATACATAGTCCAGATAATGAAACATTAAATGTTTTACAGCAGAATTTAATTGAGCCAAGAAAACAAAGAGTAAAGGACAAACAAATAAACAAAGAGAAGAAAGTATGGAGGCTAGATAACACAAAGATATTGAGGTTGTTTTGGAACATAAATGAGTTTCTTTTGACCAAGAGGGGCAATGAGTTACAAGCTTCAACAAATTTATAATAGAGTTTTGAATACCTCCAAACACAGTGAGAGTTAATTTGAAATGAGAATAAAACTAAGCTTGTAAATTTAATAGAAAATGCAAGTACCCTAAACCCTAATCCTGGCAATGGAACATGAACTGCAGGAAAAAGAAAGAAAGAAAGCAAAAAACAAACAAAATAAAAGAATAAAAACTAGTGTGATTAAACTGGGATGTTTATGTTACCCCACCCCTACCTTGCTTTCCAAACAATAACTATATAGATATTTATGTTTACCACACATGTATCTAAATACCATTGACAAAAAACTTTGATATGTGGACAAACAGCTACCAATAATGGAATAAGAATGAGCTCCAACCTACTGCATCTTGGCTTCTGACTCATTCAACAAAAAAATAAAAATAAAGAATAAAAAATGGTTTATGATCCAACAGTTGCATTAGAAATAAATTCATATTAAACTAATAAACGTCCCACAGAAAATCTTAACATTCAACTCACATTTTGATAGAGAACGTAAAAAGCAACTAAAAGAAACCGAAAAAAACGAAACACAACTGCTGCAACTCATTTAGGGCAAAAGGATGTGCATAATGAACAAGTTTTGGATCCTCCAGACAAAGACTCCAACTTTCACAAGATCATTGAAAAAACTTATAACATAATCCAATATGAAATGTACAGGGGTAGAGCTTCAAAGTGAATGCAGCCTTGGAAAACATCTTATTCAACCCGAGCCTCCAATTCGTAAATTGTAAACGAAGAAATACAGATTACACACCAAAACCCTGGGGTATAAACTGTTCCTTCAATGATACCTCTTGGAAAAAACTCAGCAACAGTTTTGCTGTTCTCCGGAACAAAATATTCCTTTCGAGCCACACCAGTCACGATAGAAAGCATTAGAAAATCCATAAATCTGAAACCTAACCAGTTGACACCACACAGAACTAGAATATACCCCAAACATAAATCAATTTAGGAAAAGCCACCAGAGCAGGAACTTGTGTGGACGAAGCCTAAAAATGGCTGAAGCAATAACCAATATCGAAGTAAGATAGAAAACCCGTAAGATTACCAACTGCATTAATCTAAAGACGATCCAGAAAACTAAAGCTCCCAGTTTGCTAAAAGTTGAGATGTGAGGAACGATCAAGTCTTCACTCATTCAAGCGGATGAACAACCCCTAAACAAACACTCGGAGACTCGGAAATCGCGGGCCGGGCGCTCAACAAAGACCACGCTCTCATTGCATGCGCACGGGTTCAAATGCCGAAACGGGAACCCCCCGGACGCCGCCCTCCGTGCAACGGTCGCCTTGGCGCAAGCTCCCCAGCTGCCGGCCATTCCTTCCCTTCTATGTTGTGGCGCCTGGGTCAATCGGCGACCAGTGTGCGTGCATCGGTTGATGCAAAGTTGGAGCGTCACGGCCATGCGAGTGAGTGCGGGAAGGAGGACGATAATGCCGCGGAGCAAGAAGAGTCTGAAGCCAGCCCCGCGTTGAACGTCATCCTCGCGGGACCCGAGTCAAGGCTGCTGCTGCGTCGCATTGATTGTTGGGTGAGAGGGAGTGCGGTGCATTTCCCCGAGCGTTTAAAGGTTAGGTCTGATCGTCTAGGGGAGGAAGAAAGAAGAGGGGGAGGGAGAGGGGGTAGGAGAGCGAAAGTTCTGAGGTTGGATAGTAGACTTGGGCGGGTGCGGGCGCGGGGCAGTGAGTAAGGGAGGGAGATGAGCGTGAGGTGCCGGAGCGGAGGGAGGGAGGGAGTTTGAGTGGCGGTGGTGGCGGTGGTGAGGGTCGCGAGCTGGAGGATAGAATGTTGGCAGTGTTGCAGAGGCAGCAGGAACGACAGTTCATCGGAGGGGGAGTGGAGTCGGCGTTTATGAGTGGTGGTGCGGGGGGGTTGTCATCGCTGGAGAGCGGGGTGTCGTCGCATGAGTCGATGGTGGACTACGTGCCGATGTCTCAGCACATGCAGACGCAGCATGCAATGCGGCGGCTGAACTCGTTCTCGCCGTCGGTGTCGAAGGAGGGCGAGGGCGCGATGAATGGCGTGTCTCCGCAGGTGTTCCAGCGGAGCCAGAGCTTCGGGGGCGGGGGAGGAGGCGCGACCGTGCATTCGCACGCGTTCAACAACCTGTTTTCGAGCCCGCCGAGCTCGCCCGTGTCGAAGGGCGAGTGTCTGGGGCTGTCGTTGCTGGAGGAGGAGTCGCTGATGGAGGTGGGGGGCGGGAAAGCGAGTTTCTTCGAGGAGGTGGGGAAGGGAGGCGGACGGGCGGAGCTGCGGGGGCTGAGCTTGGCTCCGGGGTCGCCACTGGGCGGGGGCGGCTCGTCGATGGGGTCGCCGACATTTTCCGATGCGCTGTTCAACAAGTTTCTACCGTCGAACAACGAGGACGAGGAGGCGTGGCCGGCGGTGGACATGTACGGGTGCGATCAGTTCCGGATGTTCGAATTCAAGGTGCGGCGATGCATGAGGGGGAGGAGCCACGACTGGACGGAGTGTCCGTTCGCACATCCCGGGGAGAAGGCTCGGCGTCGCGACCCGCGGCGGTTCCACTACTCGGGCACGGCGTGTCCGGACTTCCGGAAGGGGAGCTGCCGACGGGGGGATATGTGCGAGTTCGCGCACGGGGTGTTCGAGTGCTGGCTGCATCCGGCTCGGTACAGGACGCAGCCTTGCAAGGATGGGCGGAACTGCCGTCGTCGGGTGTGCTTCTTCGCGCACACGCCGGAGCAGCTGCGGTTGCTGCCGGCGGCCGCACAGGCAGCGACGACGGCCGCTCGGAACGGAGGGTCGTACGACGGGTCGCCCCGAGCGAGTGTGGCGGCGAGCTACGACGGAGCGTTCGCGTACGAGGGGGTGTCTTACGACGGGGCATCGGTGGGGCTCGTCGGATCGGCTTTGAGCCACTTCTCGGGGTACTCGAGCTCGGGACACTCGGGGGCGGGGTGCGTGGCGTCGCAGAATTCATCACCTCGGTCGACGCTGGTCGGGCACGCCCAGTATCCGGCGCCGCTGTCTCCTCCGCTGTCGCCTTCGGGGTCGCCTCCGCTGTCACCCGGTTCGCCAGAAGAATGGGCGGGGAGCGGGGGCGCGTTTGCGAGCCTGTCGATGTCTGGGATGTCGGGAGCGCAGTCGGCGATGTCTCTGCAGGCGAGCCTGCAGCAAGCCGCGCAGGTGCGGTCGCTGGGCGGGCACGCGCAGCCGTGCACGGTTCCGGCACATCGGCGGCATTTGGATCGGTTGAACTCGATGCCGACGCTGTCGATACCGAGCGCGGGGGAGCATCGGGGCGTGCACTCGGGCGGGCATTTGGGGGTGCATCCGGGGTCGGCCCCGTCGTCGCCGTCGGGGGTGGCGCAGAAGTCGATGATGGAGTTGATCGCGACGCTGCAGCAGTTGGAGGTGCGGGGGGCGCCCCCGGGATCGGCAGCGCAGTGGTTGCAGCAGCAGTACACGACGGGGCCGTCGCCGCTGCGGCGTTGCTCGCAGAGCGTGCCCGGGACGCCGACGAAGGTGTCGGCGCGGTGGGAGCAGAAGGAGCGGTGGGAGGTGGACGAGAACGACGAGGGGGAGCCGACAGTGCAGCGGGTGGAGAGCGGGCGGGATCTGCGGGCGAAGATATACGGGCGGCTGGGGAGGAGTTCTTTGAAGGATGCGGGGCCGGCGATGGGAGATTCGCCAGATCTGGACTGGGTGAACGATCTGGTGAAGGAGGAGCCGGAGCAGTCGGCGGCGTGGTGAGGGGAGAGGCGGGAGGATGCGATGCGATGCTCCGCGCTTGGGTTATGGTGGTGTTGCGTGCGGAGTGGTTTCTGCGGTGCGAAGGCGGAGGCGTGGAGGGTGTGGAATGTGGGGCGCAGGGTTGGTGGATAGGAGGGCGGGGTAGGGAGGGGGATTAGAGTGGGAGGTGGTATTTGATGAATATTGGGTTGGGAGGGGACGGGTGCGAGTATGTGAATAGGCGGAGCGGGGAAGTGACATGGGTATGGCGTGGAGGGACTGATGTTGCGCCTGTGTAAGAGCGGGGAGGGGTTGTGATTGCAGCCGTGACAGCGGAGGAGGGTGGAGGACGTTGCTGGTCGCCCCTTTTGTCGGGGAGGAATTGGCACAGGAGTTGATTTGGGGGTTGGGGGGGGGGGGTATATTGTTGATTACGGTAGGGGGATGAGAATGGGCCGGAAGGTGGTGGCAATGGACCATCGGAGGGCGATGGAGAGCGAGGGGTGATGATATTATACATATTTGGGACTATTGGTGTGCGCACCTGAGAGGAGCAGGCGGTGCGGAGGTAGGAGATTGACGTAATGAGAAATTATTATTCTGCTCGGTTTTGGCCGCCCCAAAAGGAGCTGGGAGAAGACACGAGACGGGGCGATACCCATTTTTTTGGATTTTTCACTCAAATTGTGATTGTAGGTAGGCAGGCTTTTGTTGATTTACCAAAAGCAGGATTGTAGTGGTAGAGACGGAGGAGCATGCATGTGGATACTTTTGTGTACATGCCAAGGGAGTTGAGATTGTGACGTTATGGAGCGTGGAGGTCTGGGAGGAAAGTAGACCTTAGTGACAGGAGAGTCTAGTCATACGACGGATCGACCTATCTCAATTCGGAAGGACAATGCGCCGATCTATTTGCCTAGGATTAAAAGTGTACATTCATTCATGATGTCATGATGGCGATGGCTTTTGTAATATATGTTTCTCTGCCCTGCACATTGATTTTTGCGGTACGGTGTGTATGTGTGACGGCGTGTATGGCGGGAGGGAGAGAGTGGCTCTGTGGGTGGTTGTGTGATGGGTAGGGTTGGGCGCGTCGTGGCCGTGGAGCAGTCTTTGCAGTTTGGGTGCCCGCCGGGTGTGGAGGGTGGGAGGGATTGCTTTTTTATTTAGTGTATGTTTGTGGAGTCGCGATGGCGTGTGGTTGGAATTGGGTTGGGGCGGGACGTGTTGTCTGAAGGACGCTGATCTTGCGGGTATCTGGGTTGGAGCGTGATCGTGTGAGGTGGAAGGTGGTGCGGCGAGGGTTTGGGATGTTGGTGTTGTGAAGCTGGGTGGATGTGTTGGCGAGAGGGTATGGGGTGGAGGAATGGAGTAGGGGTTTGTTGACGTGGATGTGACTGTGGTCGTTGCAGTGTACGCTGTGGTTGTGTCGAGTTTGTGAAAGGGGAGGAGGCAGAGTGTATCTTCTTGGAGATTCAGGGACAACGCTGTTTCTTGGCGTGCGTAAACTTTGTTTTTTTTTTGGTTTTGAATTTTCCGGTCGGTGGTTTTTATTTCCACTTTTGAAGCTGATTGTGGTATACTTGCCTCATTTTTTTTTTTTTTTTTTTTTTTCCGGGAGATATTTGTTTAGCACTTCGTATTGATTCTTTTTGTTTTTTTTTTGCCCCTTGATAGTTTGGTTTGTTTATTTGCTTATTCTCAAAAGATCTTGCTTTGGCCTTTTTATATTGTTTGAAAATTTAAAACATTGAGTTGTTGGTTGGCCTGCTGTGTTGGTGGATCGTGGAGTATGTATTGGTTTGTGGAGTTTGATGACTTGAAGTCCATCTGTTTCTTACAAGTCAAATTAATATGCACTTTACATGTAGGTTACTTAATAGTTCCTAATTGTTGAGACATTCTAATTTGAGGCAATTCAAGAGCCTGTCAGTTTTGTATTTTAAATTCTTAAGTATTAGACTCAAATCCAATCTTAAATATTTATTCAGAAATTCTAAATAAAATTTAAGCAAACCACTAGAAATTTCAACAAAATTAGAACTACATTTTTTTGAAACTCTACAATTTCTTAATTAGATTCTAAGAAAGTTTCATGCAATTTGTGAAGAAGTCCTACTCAGTATTAATTAATCTCTAAACAAATTCTAAGAAAACCTTAAATTCCAAGGATTAAACTTAATTGAGCTTCAGCTTATAAATGCAGCATTTAAATATTTTAAAGTTTTGTAAGTTGTCTTCACAAGTCTTGTGTAATTTGTAAGTTTTAAAAAAGTTTTTTATAGCATTGACATTCAGTCTTTATAGTTGAGTTGGATAGAGATCCCCTCCCCCCCTTTTTTTTAATACAAAGAGTTTATTGGATAATTGTCCTTGAAATTGTCTACATTGTCACATGCTTTGATTATTGCAAGAACCTCCCATTTAGAGGAGATGCTTTATTATATTGTATTATTATATATATATATATATATATATATTATCTTGGGGTATGATTTTGATCTTAAAGAAGAAAAAAACGTTTTTTTTTATAAAAATGGTACCATATAATATTAAATATGTATTCTTTCTTAATTATTAGTTAAGTATTTATTAGGAAATATTAAGAATTTATTAGGAAATACCTATTAATCTTTTGCAAAAGTTGACATAAAAGTACTCTTTAAAAAGTTGGGAGGCTATATAGTTTTTTTTTAACTATAGCTACTATAGCTATAATTTTTTATTGCACTTTGTTATGAAATACAATGGTTGATCCAAGCTATTTCTAATAATATTTTGTAGACCTTCTTGCTTACAATATAAATTGATTAATGTAGTGTAAGACAATTCTGGAATATTACAACTTTTTATAATTTAATAAATGTAGATGGAATTCTAAGCTCCTTAGATTTAAAGCTCAACTATTTTTTATATAATCAATCATGTATCATAAAATACAAGGTCTCCTTTGCTTATGACTTCTATATACTAATCTCTTGCCAAGACAAAATTTTATGAAAGAATCAAAAGAAGACGTCTAGAAAAACAATCTTAGAGTGTAAAACATAGCAAATAACAACTCACTCCTAGCAAGAGGCATATACATTGCATCTCTTCACAACTAATATATATTGATCAAATATTAAGTTCTTTAAAATCTTTGCAAAGAAGAGTGTTTTTTTCAATTTATAATGAAAGAATAAAATTTTCTAATATTCAAAAATAGTAATTAGAAATCAATAGGAAATTATTGACCTATAACTCTCTTAAGTTTTATAAATAAGAATGTTTTTAAGTATTCTACAATTGAGGAATCAATGTGTTCTTTTAAAAGTTATAAGCTTAAATCAAAGTGTCTTATCTCTTTTCAAATATATCCTTATCAACATAATGTTAGTTCATCAATATGATTTTAGTTCATAAAGACATACATTAAGTCAAAGCACTCAAGTGATGCCTTATATTATTGAAGTTTAATTTTGTAAAAGCAATCAATTTTATTAATCAAACTTTTATATACAATCAATAATATTTTTAAGATTTAGAATAACTTTTATTATAATGACCAAGATTCTTTTTATTTATGTTAAAGCTCATATTATTATCAAATGGGTGAAGATCTTCAAATTATCTTACTACTGAAGGTATAAACAATGTTGTTTCTTATCTTCTTAACTTTTTTGATAGTAGGAAATATTCTTCATTTCAATCTCAAGACAATTATGCTTTTCGATCTCATATATATATATATATATATATATATATATATCTTACCACACTACAACAACCAAGTAATTATCATTCAATATATTGACAATTCTACAATATTTTTTAAAGAGAATAGAATCTATTAATAAAAAGTTATTATGATTATAAAATATTTTCATTCCTCTTTAAGGCTATACATAAATTGGTTATAATCTATGGCACTATGTTACATTAATGTATCCAAACTACCTTGGACTGATAAGTTCATATTTAATTAGATTATTTTATAAAATTTTAATTTTCTTTTATCTCTTTGGAGTCAATCTAGATTCTTCAACCATCAACATCTTCCTTATCAAATATGTATAAATAAAACTTAAGTATTAGTATTCTTTATAATTCAATCTAGTTACAAAAATACTAATTGTTAGTTATATCATTCAATCATCCACTTCATTAAAATATAAATTAAATCAATCCAAGTTATAAAAGCTATTAAATAAATAACTAAGGACTTTACTTGAATTTAATAAGGATACTAACACTTATACTAAAATCACATAACAAATAATTTCTTGTACACAACATGGAATTTCTAGTTTGATAGATTTAGATACAACCTAAAATGTCTTTATAATACTTAAGATTTTCAAGTCATTAATGCCAAAAACCTCATTTTATCAAAATTTTATAATATATATATATATATATATATATATATATATTTATATATTCCAATTCATTTGAACTTTTCAAAACATCAACAATTGGTTTTTAATATCTATATTAGACAATCAAGACATCATCTTAATTTTCTTTACATTCAAAGATCTAGAAATGGTTATACAAAGCATAGCATCTTTTGACTAAAGACCTCAAATATGTACATTCAAACAAATTTTATTTTATATTTAACTATCTTTAATAGAATAAAAAAAAATCCTCTATTCAATAAGAATTACTATCATTTTAATAAAAACAACTAAATTGAAGAAGATTGAACTTTAAGAATATAATATTTTACTTATATAAGAGATCCTAGAGATAGCTACTATAACATGAAATAAAAGTTAAATATTGCATGCATGTTGTGAACTAAAATAAACTCCCATTAGTTTGAAGTATAATCTAGTTCACAATGATTTAATTTTCTAAATATTGTAACAATTCTCAAGTAGAAATTAATTTGTATCTAATAGTTCCATATCTCTTTAATTTTGAGCTAGATAAAGTCTTCTAGTAGGTGAATTATACTAATTCATAACTATTAGCCATTTATGATTTTATTAATTAAATTGCATTTGTATTTTTTTATGAAAGATCTTTAATTTTTTAACTCATCCATAATTTTTTAAGACATCCATAATAACAATATAAGCAATAATAAATACTTCAAATTACATTCTTTGAAAGAAAATTTTTATATGATTTTATTTTATTTTAATATTTTTTTATCTAATAATAATAAATTATCCAAGTTAAAAGTTCATCTAAGATAAATTCTCATCTATAAATGAATTTTTATCAAAGAATGATTTCATATCTACAAATAAGAATTCATCCACCTTAATTGTCACGGACATACAACTGAAGAAGGTTCCAGAAGGTTCTAGAAGGTACAAATAGGTTCTAAGAAGGCTCTAGGTCATAGGAGATCCTAGAAGGTTCTAGGAGGCTTTAGATGATTTAGGAAGTTGCCAAAGAAGGATCTTAGGCTTGCTTTATTCTCAAGCCTCGTAAAAACTTCTCAAGAAGCTTCCAAAGACCTAGTATGTATAGGAGTCGAGGTTGAGGGGATCCTCAGTCTTGACAACTCCCTTCTTGTGGTCTTGCCAAGACCTTCTTACCTTGTATCTAGTTGTTGTTCTAATGTCAAACTAATTCTATTTCTTGGTCTTGAATCCTTGTCTTATTTATGGTCTTTAATAGTTTCTCAAGACTGCCATAAAATAATATTAGGATTTTGGTCTTTCTTGACAGAGAGTGGATTACTCCTCTTCTTGGAAGTACTATAGCATTCTAGAGGTTGCAGATTACCCTCCTCTAGACTAATATTGTTCTTTTTTTAATATTCTTTTGGTTTCTTTTTTTTATATCATAGATAAGGTTTTTTTTTCTTTTGAAGGCATGTGTTTCTTTCATTTCCTATGGCAGAAGGTGGAAAAGTCAATATGGCAGACTCTAAAGAGATCAAGTTAGATTCTATTATTAATGCTCTTGAAGCATTGAAGATTAAGACAAAGACTTTCTCAAAGCAGAATGAAGAACTATATATGACCATATATAATGGTCAAGGCTATGCAAGTTAGACATGTATGAAAGGTCTTATAGAATATCATCCTATAGCTCTTAATTAGGTAGTGTATATACAGGCAAGAATAAATCCTTCTTCACTCTTGTCAATGTCTTTTTTGTATTTGGTCTTGTTTCAAGAGTCTTTAGTATTATTTCCTTTGTAAATAACTATTTTAGTTTAATATAATATCACTTATGCAATATGATAAGAGTTTGTTTGCATAGACGTAAAGTGAGGACTATTACTTTGCAATGTCACTTATTCACTCTTTCATTCATTCATTCTCTCATTCATACTCACTTACATACACTCATACTTTGAGTAAAAGTGAATTATTACAAGATATATAATTAGGTATGTTTAAGAACTAAAATTCCCATCACATCTCTTTCTATAGCTTTTGGAGTGAATAATTCTTACAAACAAGTCAAATTTATTTATATCCTTAAGTTTGAAGTTACTTTGGAAGGTGACTTCTTTTATTTGACATTTTTTTTCCTTTCCATCATGTCTAATTCTCTCCGTTTGTTCTAGTGATGATCCCTAGTGAAAGAAAAGTATTTATGTTAATTTAAATGCTCAAAGTATATAGAATCTGGTTGGCTATTTGATTGTCTTGAGAGAGCCTCTTCAATATTGTTGCCCTTGTCCATATTGATTGAACTCGAATTATTAGAACTTTTGTAAACTATCATTGGTATGGAGTTTCAATATGGTGAGGTCTTCTATGTTTTAGACATTGTGACAATGTACATTATTCAAAGACTTAATTAACTCTAGACTTTTTAGACCAACTATTATAAATGCATAATAGAACAAGAATTTAGCCATCTACATATTTAGTAGCTACAAAAATTGTCAAATTATGATAGAAATATAACTTTGAAAATACTTAGTTCGATTTTTTTTATTTGAAATCAAAAGAGGCAACAAAAATAAAAATCGATAGTTATGGCCAAGTAATGTCTTTACTACTATTTATAGAGGGAGTTGTCAATTGTCATCATAGCCTCCGATTGTCCAACAAATGCCACATCATGCTTGCAGATCCTCACATCACCGCTGTTGTATTACGTGTTGTCTTGTTCGGCAATACATTGGATATCTGGTTGTGGAAGGTATAGTTGTTTTTGCAAATAACAAAGAAACCCTAATAGATTTTATCCATGTATGAAGAATATAATTGAAATATCAATTTCCAAGTATTTAAAAACACTCCTCATAGTCATTTTAACCATACAATATTCCAATTGCTTTATTTCTTTTATAATTAAGTTGTTTTTGTTTTTCTTAACAAGCCCTAACTCTAGCAAGTGAGCTTTGACAAGCTGTAACTTTTGATCCAACCGTCCACTTAGTGTGAAATTTTGCACCCAAATACCAGTATAAGCCTTCTATATGCTCAGAAAATTTCAGCCCAATCCAACTTACAGATTGCAAGAAAACGCCCAAAAACCGCACTAATGACACTCGGCGGAACCTTGAAATTTGATGTAGAAACTCTAGAAGTGATTTCTCCTTTGTCAACCGTTAACTCCAGCTCAAAATTGAATAGCCGCTTGATCTCCAAATCTTCTATTACCAAGCCAAAAATTACGTCGATCCAACCAATAGATCTTCAAATATCACAGAAACCCTATCCAACCCTAGACTGCCAACTTCCGACAACCCTTTTGTACTAAAACCCAGATATCTCTTGATTGCATCGTTAGATTAACACAAATTTTTGTATACACTTAGCACACCCAACTATCCAGACAATACCAAATTTTGACCCATAGATGCTACACGACTTGCACAAACCGATTGAGAATGCAAACCATCAATGTTTTATATAAAATCCGAAACACCAAAATAAACACTGACTTTGAGCAGCGATTGCTCTCCTCTCACAAATCCTAATGAAACCGAACTAGTGACCTTGAAAAGAGCTTGAAGCTAGCTCTTCGATCCAAAAACCCGATCTGAAAAAACCCCCGTATTTTGCCCTAGGCTGCCGTTTTAGTGGTTGGAGGTCGGATTTCGACCCTGTCTCATATCCGGCCGACCCCCGGATATCAATCTAATCTATCCTAGTGGTTTTATAGCCCGATCCTACCCTCAACTTAACCCTAGTATCAACCATGCTAATAAATTATCCTTTTTATCCTTTCTTTACCATTTTATGGCCTTTCTAAGGCAATAAAAAAGTTACTACAGCCTAGAAGGTAAAATTACTAACTAGTTTTTATCTACTAGCTATTAAGTGAAGAAAATAGGATTAGAGGCTTTTATAAAAGCCTTGTAAAATATATTGAATGCTTGTTGAACCATGATAATAGAATATTAATTAAAATATCATTTTTTTTGTCATATTTTCACCATATAGTCGTGTCACAATACGACACCGTGATGAAAGCTAGGAATGGTGTTTAGATTGAAAATTGGAAATAGAAGAAGCAGGATTGAGAACAAAGAAGGTGAATTGCTTTAATAAAAATTTGGATTGTTTTATCATTCTCCTATATATATTATAAGTATTATACTACATCAAAACAAAGAAAATATGTGATTATTAAAGAAAAATCTTAGAAAAAAGATATTACAATCTTTTTATTCTAGCATAAGCTAATTAACTGCAATATAAGTTTTTGGAAGAAAAAATTAATTACAATAAACAAGAAGTTATAAAATAGTTTTTAATTCTTTAAAAAGTTATAAGACACAATATGATAAGACTAAAAGATGCAAAATTCTAATTGAGGTGAAATTACACTCTATCTCCTAAGATAGGCCTAATTTAGTCATAATGATGACCTATTTAAGACTATATTATTTACCTAATTTTTTTAATTAAAAAAGTGAAATCCCTTTTATTTCAAAAAACATAAAAAGAAAGACATATCATTGTTTTGAAATAAATCTAACACTACTTTTCTCCAAATTGCATACTACACTCAAATCCAAGAGTAGATAAATCCAACTCATGGGTGGTAATGTATTTAAAAGAACTTGTTGGCCTCTGTTTCAAACATTACTGCATAATCTTTTTTCTTTTTTTCTTTTTTTCTTTTTCTTTTTTGGCATGAATTAAGTTTCAATGTAGGGAGGGCCTTTATATTTGGTTGTACAGAGAGATATGGGGTTGGTCAAGTTTGATACCCATGTTCTTGCGGTTCATGGGGTGAACTGGAAGATTGGTGTGTTGCCTTCCTATCTATGTCTATCAAGATTGAACTCGAGTTTGGAGAAGGAGCCGTAGAAGAAACGGATCACCGTTTTCTTGGAACTGTATTACACCGATACAACCCGAATTTTCTCTATCTTGCAGATCAGCATGTCCTTGGTTGGGGGTATCACTGGCCCTTGTGTTATATGCGTGTGGAGTGTATTGGATCCAGGAGGATAGGTTGGATGTGGGATGTAGGATCTGATCCACAGGTCCAACTCGAAAGGTATTGGTGGTGAATTTGGAATAGGCAACGGATTGTTCCATTCCTAAAGGTGGGCAGAAACTTGGGATAGCTTGGGTGACTAGAATTGGATGCAGCAAGGAGTCTCATTTATATAGGCCAAGCTAGCCGCCTACTTTGGTGGTGGGTGGGATATTGTTCAAAAGCAGCCCAAACTCCTATTGGATGGTTGTTATTATGATGTTCCACTAGGGCTGCTCATCCTCACTCGAGTGAAACCAAATCCGTGCTTCTGAGGCAAGGTATTGGGTCTGATCTTCTGCTCTGCAATCTCTAATTTGTCTGCACTCACGTTTATACCATGTGGCCCTTTGAACCATTGTGATTGTAGGGTGTATTGATGTCACAAATTTCGAACTAAACCAGAGTCTGATGTTGGTGATTTCAGCGCGTGTATGTGGCTTACGCTACTGGATTACTTTTGCTAGTTTCTTCCATGTTTTGCCAATCTGGGCCCATATAATAGATCCGCTTGAGTGTATGTGTCTTGTAAGCATCGCCAAGTTTAGATCATTGCTCCATCTCCCGCCTTTGTTCGGTTGAAATGTGGCAAGCTTGTACCAAAGGAGGGCAGTCAGGTTACACTTCTTCAGTTCGAGAGCTTTCAAGATCTATTTGTTTAGGAGACAGTCCATTGCATCTTCCGAGTCAGTGATGCTTACTTTCTCTTGCTTTTTGAGGATTCATGTCAACCACGCCACTCATGCACTTGTACGATGTTCTCTTCCAGTCCAAAGATAGTTCCTGAGGAGAGCCTTGATTTGTTTAATAACCTTCCGTGAGCATGTTCATACCCCCACGAAGTACTAGCGTGTTGATAGTAGAATTTGATTTACAACGAGTTTGTGTCCTGCTTAAGACAATTTTGTTGAGACCAAAAATGTGAGTTTCTGCTAGATCTTTCCTTTTAATAAATTGTCAATATCAGGTGTACTAATGGAGAGCCCAAATAAGATGCCTAGTAGTTTAGCTATGTGCCCATCCCACACCCAGACCCAATCGTATGCATTCGTCCATGCAAGTCGAGGATCGTGTTTACTCACCCAATAATCACTGGATTTTGCCCAATTAATCACTAGTCCGGAGGCCAAGGCAAAGGTGTCGAGGATATCAATCAATGTTTTCACTTGTTCTTTTGCACGGACAAAGAATGACGTATCATCCGCATATTGCAAAGTAAGCTGTTGAGATGTAGCTCCTGGGAGGTTGATGCCAATTAGTGCATAATCTTTCAAGCACAATGAAAACCACACCATACACTGCAATTCTGATAGTCAAGTGACAAAGCACGCAGTTATCTTTTAAGCAGAGGGGAATCATTGACTGCAGAATCTTACCATTGAAGTCTAGATCGTCATAAATACTGATGACTGTCAGATTGCGCGCAATCTTCGGTCTCATAACTTTGCTCCAATCCTCAATCTAATGAGCACGAGTGCGATGCCAGACGTGGTCGATGTTGACTCCCAGTCCAGCAACCACAGTAGACGGCCCATTCTCGGTGAATGAGATAACCATTCCATTCGAACTGCCATATCCCAGTTTACAGTGAGTGACTGTGGATCGAAACAGACAAACGCGTCATAACAAATCAAGATCAGTTTTGGATCCTCAATTCAGCCAAACCACACCACAGTGACCTGATGGTATAAAAATACGTACTCTAGAGAATTCAGGGCTACACTTACAGCGACAAGTCAATATACAATGCCAAACTTGAGAGCTACATCCGCCTGACAAACTCTGGGGAAGCATTCCAGACGCCAAATAAAACATTTCGAAGAACATTCTCCACAATTGCTTCAGCAAAGCGGAATACACAACAATAACAAAAGATAGTTGGAAAAACAAATAAATAAATAAACCTCAAAAAAAAACTGGAGATACACAACCAACCACATCGTACAATCGTTGAAAACGAAAAAAAAGAGACAGTGCCGGAATCAGAACGCAACGACGCCGGAAATTACACAACGACGCCGGAAATTACACAAAATACCTACAGGCTCCACTTCACGAAACTAGCTAGAAAACTTAGAACCAAATCTACAAATAAAGGGATGTACGACAAACGAAAACCAAAATCACCGTCAACTCATGGAAAATATAATCCGAGGAATTGAACCGGTCAACATACAATCACAACAACATCCACATCACCCAAATATAATAAAACAGAACGAATCAAAGTTGAGCTACAGAGATAAGCTGACCATACTTTCAACCCTAAAACCAAAACAAAATAAATAAATAAACGAAAATCCCTTAACAGATGCAAAAAAAAGCGAGAAAGAAAGGGAAAAAAAAAAAAAAAAAAAAAAAAAAAACCCACGAGACAAGGTTAAATGCATATTAAAAGAAAAACTAACCAGCAACAGTATAAATCCACGGTACCGCTACTCAATCGAAAGCAAGAAAGCAGCGTTGTCCCTGAATCTCCAAGAAGATACACTCTGCCTCCTCCCCTTTCACAAACTCGACACAACCACAGCGTACACTGCAACGACCACAGTCACATCCACGTCAACAAACCCCTACTCCATTCCTCCACCCCATACCCTCTCGCCAACACATCCACCCAGCTTCACAACACCAACATCCCAAACCCTCGCCGCACCACCTTCCACCTCACACGATCACGCTCCAACCCAGATACCCGCAAGATCAGCGTCCTTCAGACAACACGTCCCGCCCCAACCCAATTCCAACCACACGCCATCGCGACTCCACAAACATACACTAAATAAAAAAGCAATCCCTCCCACCCTCCACACCCGGCGGGCACCCAAACTGCAAAGACTGCTCCACGGCCACGACGCGCCCAACCCTACCCATCACACAACCACCCACAGAGCCACTCTCTCCCTCCCGCCATACACGCCGTCACACATACACACCGTACCGCAAAAATCAATGTGCAGGGCAGAGAAACATATATTACAAAAGCCATCGCCATCATGACATCATGAATGAATGTACACTTTTAATCCTAGGCAAATAGATCGGCGCATTGTCCTTCCGAATTGAGATAGGTCGATCCGTCGTATGACTAGACTCTCCTGTCACTAAGGTCTACTTTCCTCCCAGACCTCCACGCTCCATAACGTCACAATCTCAACTCCCTTGGCATGTACACAAAAGTATCCACATGCATGCTCCTCCGTCTCTACCACTACAATCCTGCTTTTGGTAAATCAACAAAAGCCTGCCTACCTACAATCACAATTTGAGTGAAAAATCCAAAAAAATGGGTATCGCCCCGTCTCGTGTCTTCTCCCAGCTCCTTTTGGGGCGGCCAAAACCGAGCAGAATAATAATTTCTCATTACGTCAATCTCCTACCTCCGCACCGCCTGCTCCTCTCAGGTGCGCACACCAATAGTCCCAAATATGTATAATATCATCACCCCTCGCTCTCCATCGCCCTCCGATGGTCCATTGCCACCACCTTCCGGCCCATTCTCATCCCCCTACCGTAATCAACAATATACCCCCCCCCCAACCCCCAAATCAACTCCTGTGCCAATTCCTCCCCGACAAAAGGGGCGACCAGCAACGTCCTCCACCCTCCTCCGCTGTCACGGCTGCAATCACAACCCCTCCCCGCTCTTACACAGGCGCAACATCAGTCCCTCCACGCCATACCCATGTCACTTCCCCGCTCCGCCTATTCACATACTCGCACCCGTCCCCTCCCAACCCAATATTCATCAAATACCACCTCCCACTCTAATCCCCCTCCCTACCCCGCCCTCCTATCCACCAACCCTGCGCCCCACATTCCACACCCTCCACGCCTCCGCCTTCGCACCGCAGAAACCACTCCGCACGCAACACCACCATAACCCAAGCGCGGAGCATCGCATCGCATCCTCCCGCCTCTCCCCTCACCACGCCGCCGACTGCTCCGGCTCCTCCTTCACCAGATCGTTCACCCAGTCCAGATCTGGCGAATCTCCCATCGCCGGCCCCGCATCCTTCAAAGAACTCCTCCCCAGCCGCCCGTATATCTTCGCCCGCAGATCCCGCCCGCTCTCCACCCGCTGCACTGTCGGCTCCCCCTCGTCGTTCTCGTCCACCTCCCACCGCTCCTTCTGCTCCCACCGCGCCGACACCTTCGTCGGCGTCCCGGGCACGCTCTGCGAGCAACGCCGCAGCGGCGACGGCCCCGTCGTGTACTGCTGCTGCAACCACTGCGCTGCCGATCCCGGGGGCGCCCCCCGCACCTCCAACTGCTGCAGCGTCGCGATCAACTCCATCATCGACTTCTGCGCCACCCCCGACGGCGACGACGGGGCCGACCCCGGATGCACCCCCAAATGCCCGCCCGAGTGCACGCCCCGATGCTCCCCCGCGCTCGGTATCGACAGCGTCGGCATCGAGTTCAACCGATCCAAATGCCGCCGATGTGCCGGAACCGTGCACGGCTGCGCGTGCCCGCCCAGCGACCGCACCTGCGCGGCTTGCTGCAGGCTCGCCTGCAGAGACATCGCCGACTGCGCTCCCGACATCCCAGACATCGACAGGCTCGCAAACGCGCCCCCGCTCCCCGCCCATTCTTCTGGCGAACCGGGTGACAGCGGAGGCGACCCCGAAGGCGACAGCGGAGGAGACAGCGGCGCCGGATACTGGGCGTGCCCGACCAGCGTCGACCGAGGTGATGAATTCTGCGACGCCACGCACCCCGCCCCCGAGTGTCCCGAGCTCGAGTACCCCGAGAAGTGGCTCAAAGCCGATCCGACGAGCCCCACCGATGCCCCGTCGTAAGACACCCCCTCGTACGCGAACGCTCCGTCGTAGCTCGCCGCCACACTCGCTCGGGGCGACCCGTCGTACGACCCTCCGTTCCGAGCGGCCGTCGTCGCTGCCTGTGCGGCCGCCGGCAGCAACCGCAGCTGCTCCGGCGTGTGCGCGAAGAAGCACACCCGACGACGGCAGTTCCGCCCATCCTTGCAAGGCTGCGTCCTGTACCGAGCCGGATGCAGCCAGCACTCGAACACCCCGTGCGCGAACTCGCACATATCCCCCCGTCGGCAGCTCCCCTTCCGGAAGTCCGGACACGCCGTGCCCGAGTAGTGGAACCGCCGCGGGTCGCGACGCCGAGCCTTCTCCCCGGGATGTGCGAACGGACACTCCGTCCAGTCGTGGCTCCTCCCCCTCATGCATCGCCGCACCTTGAATTCGAACATCCGGAACTGATCGCACCCGTACATGTCCACCGCCGGCCACGCCTCCTCGTCCTCGTTGTTCGACGGTAGAAACTTGTTGAACAGCGCATCGGAAAATGTCGGCGACCCCATCGACGAGCCGCCCCCGCCCAGTGGCGACCCCGGAGCCAAGCTCAGCCCCCGCAGCTCCGCCCGTCCGCCTCCCTTCCCCACCTCCTCGAAGAAACTCGCTTTCCCGCCCCCCACCTCCATCAGCGACTCCTCCTCCAGCAACGACAGCCCCAGACACTCGCCCTTCGACACGGGCGAGCTCGGCGGGCTCGAAAACAGGTTGTTGAACGCGTGCGAATGCACGGTCGCGCCTCCTCCCCCGCCCCCGAAGCTCTGGCTCCGCTGGAACACCTGCGGAGACACGCCATTCATCGCGCCCTCGCCCTCCTTCGACACCGACGGCGAGAACGAGTTCAGCCGCCGCATTGCATGCTGCGTCTGCATGTGCTGAGACATCGGCACGTAGTCCACCATCGACTCATGCGACGACACCCCGCCCTCCAGCGATGACAACCCCCCCGCACCACCACTCATAAACGCCGACTCCACTCCCCCTCCGATGAACTGTCGTTCCTGCTGCCTCTGCAACACTGCCAACATTCTATCCTCCAGCTCGCGACCCTCCACCACCGCCACCACCGCCACTCAAACTCCCTCCCTCCCTCCGCTTCGGCACCTCACGCTCATCTCCCTCCCTTACTCACTGCCCCGCGCCCGCACCCGCCCAAGTCTACTATCCAACCTCGGAACTTTCGCTCTCCTACCCCCTCTCCCTCCCCCTCTTCTTTCTTCCTCCCCTAGACGATCAGACCTAACCTTTAAACGCTCGGGGAAATGCACCGCACTCCCTCCCACCCAACAATCAATGCGACGCAGCAGCAGCCTTGACTCGGGTCCCGCGAGGATGACGTTCAACGCAGGGCTGGCTTCAGGCTCTTCTTGCTCCGCGGCACTACCGTCCTCCTCCCCGCACTCACTCGCATGGCCGTGACGCTCCTACTTCGCATCAACCGATGCACACACACTGGTCGCCGATTAACCCAGGCGCCACAACATAGAAGCGAAGGAAAGGTCAGCAGCGGGGAACCCACGCGTGGAGGTGGGGGCCTTTGCCATCAGCGTCCGATGAGGGGCGTCCGAAGACCGTCGTTTAGCGGGTGTGCTATCGGGCGGTTTCGTTCACCGCGATTGCGACATCTATGTTTCTGCATCTTCGAAATGGCTTTTTTATGCTTCGTACTTTGTTGTTGTTGGATTTGTCTTTGTTACTTCGTATTTTTGCCTTCTGACTTTAAATGGATGTATGTCTTCTTTCCTATAGCTTTGTTTTTATTCCTGGTAGTCCTCGTCAGTACTTTGAGTTTTATAATTTTAGAGTTGTTGTGAATATTTGGTTTCCAGAACGTCCTTGATTATATTTTGACTTCGGATAGTGAGGAAATTTAGTTTGCATGTAGTCAGGACCGTCATGTCCTGGAAACACATATTTACAGTGGATGATGGACTGGAACCTTTTTTGGATTGTGATTAATTGTAGTTGTTTTTGGTAGTTCTAGATGTTTTGTTTTATTGTTTTAGAGGGCCTTGGCAGAATAGTTTTTATTGTTGACCTTCACTGGTTATGAGCTGTTATTATGGAAACTGTGAAAGCAGTTTCTTTGTTTGTTTTTTCCCCTGGACATTTTCACAAAGTAGAAGGGGATCATTTGAAGTAGAATATGTGTTTTCATTTACATGAATGCGTCTTTATTTTATGAGGTTTTCATTTTGTACATGATTTACATATGGTCAATTAAAATGTATTTATATCTTTGCATAGTTATTGATCATGTAGCAACTTGGGTACAGCAAAATTCGTCAACAAGTTTTTTTAAACATAGTTTTTATCATGGGTTCATTAAAATCTCTTTGATTTGCGTTATGTGTCAAGTATCATGTTGACAAGCAATCCTTGTTTGTGTTTGTGTGATTGTTGTATTATACAAACTTATGGTTCAATTGTTGATATTTGGGAGTTAATTGTGCACTTCATATCTAATTTTGTTGTGTTGTTACTACAATGTAGAACATTTTAATATTTCACTTATTGTGAGATATTTTTTTGACTTAGTGTGATATTCAACCATCAATAATCCACACTGAGGTAAGCCAAGCAATGTGCTATATCCCCTGGAGTCTATAAATTTTATTACTTTGGTCTTGACCACTTTCCATGGCCCACTTGTGTATAAATTCACAGAGGTACTGCTCTGTCTGCATGCACATTTTTCTGTTAAGATAAAATGTTGAACATGTTTTTTGGGGATTTCTTTCAAAGGTTTTCTCAGACTCAGATTGGGAATCCCAAGAGGTGATTTTTGACTACCTATGCAAAAAAAAAAAAGGAATTGGTGATTGATCAATGATGGGTTCATTCAAACTTCATTCATAAATTGAGCTCTCAAGTAGGGGCTCAATATGGCAAGAAGGCAAGAATAATGACATTACTGTAGAGCTAGTACATGATGCTTCTGTTGTCATTTCCCACAAGGTTTGTATTTCTAATCCAACGATGTTTGTCAAATGTAATGGGGAGGTTGTGTTTTTCTATTTTTGTTTTTTATGAGCATGTCTTTGAAGTAAAAATAAATTAATATGTCCTTGTCACATACATGATGGGAATATGATGTATCTTAGCATTGTGTGTTGTATCATTTTTAAGGTTGATTTTCTCATTCATTGCATGTGCACTCAGGATTGTCTAAATGACTTTGTTTTTAAGTGCAAATGACTATTACATAGAGTAATTTTGTACATGAGATGTATAAATTATGTGGTTGAAAAAGTGGAACCAATTTGTAAAAGACACATTGTCCAGTTTTTTAATTCAAGGCTAATTGTGAGGTTTTTTTTTTTTTTTTTTTTTTTTGTATTTTATTATGTTATTACAATGAATGTTGCTTGCTTTTGAGTAAGATGTATTTTTTTTTTCAAAGTTATCATTAAATTGATGCACATGTTCTTACATCATTCAATATGGTATGTAATGGACTTGATTAAAGGTAAATTGTAATCTATTGGCTGAGACTGATTTTTTTTTTTTTTTTTTTTTTTTTTTTTGGATAGAGAGTTTATCTTTCTACTATATCATGTGTTGTAAATACAAAGATTATTGGATAATAATTGGTTTTGATGTTCTCTTTTCAAAACAGAAAATGGATAATGGGTTTTTTTAAGAATATGTGTGCTGAATCAGTACTTAGAGTTCATACTTTATTTTCTTTGAATTTGCTTCCATCGAAAAAGGTTGAACGATACTTAATAGTCAATTTTTAATTTCATTAACAGAAGAATGGTATGAAAATTTAAAATAAACAAGAATAAATAAATCTTTCACATACTTTAGATACATAAAATACTAAGCTTAAAGACATATACATAAGTTTGCAACATGAAGCTATTGTAGCATAGCAAAACCTTGTAACTGATATTCTTTTCAACATAACCGATTTGGTTGTAGAGTTTATCATTTAAAAAATTAGGAGATATTTTTTAAATGAATGAAAAAAAAAAAAAAAAAAAAAAAAAAAAAACCGAACCGTTTAATCTTGAATAAAAATTAAAAGCATCAAATATTAAATTTTGATTTTTTTTCAATCAAAGTGAACTCAGTAAAGTATGTGTTTCGATTCGAGAAAATAACTGTTTCAGATCCTTGAAGGATGACAACTTTGGCTTGGAATTGCATGTTTCAAGATTGACAAGCAGTCAAAATTGTAAAAAAGTTTAACAAAATTTCATACTTTTAGATTTTACCAGATATGTGTCATTTTTTAAAAAGAAAAAGAAAAAAGCATGGGCACTAGTGTTGTGTGAGGTATATTTTTTTCCCCTCAGAAATTAAGGTTTAAAAAATGAAAGAAAAAGACCATTAAAACATTGCAAAAATATCTGGAATAGTAAATTTGGTGAATTACGTATATGACTGAACAAATGAGTCAATAATCTAATTTGTAGGATTTAAACAAAAAAAAAAAAAAAAAAAAAAAATGCAATGAACCCATTTTATGTAAATCCATTTCCATGTGTATTCAAAATTTGTAATTAAAGCTAATTATTATGTTATTATTGTATGAAGAAAATATGAACTATATATATAGTTGAAGTGTGCATGATTGTAATATTAAGAATCTGTAAAATGTCTTGAATTTGTTTGTAGGGTTGTGGGCGATTTTTCAGCACTTATATATATATATATATATGTGTGTGTGTGTGTATGTATATGTTATGAACATGAATATTAGTTTTGAAAGAACAACTATGTATTTAATTGAATACTTTTTTTACTTGGAGTAAGAAGTATTAATTTGATATACGGCATTGAATTCAAATATCAAGATTTTACTAACAAATTTTTATCCATTTTATTTTTAGTTTTTAGATTAGGTTGTGTGATCAACTATCTAAAAACGTTTGAATACAGACACATAATGTCTTGTTGTCTTTCTTTTCAAAAGTTATACATTGCATGCTTTCTTGTTGAACTCAAAAGTTGTTCAAATATTATAATTTTTTTTTAAAAAATAAAAACTATGCTAATCCTAAAGAACATAGTAGAGGTAGATGTTGTGATTCAACAGAATACAGTAATTGACCAAACACAAGGTTGAAGTGGGTTTGATGAGTGGAATCAACTACTACTGCTTATGGCATTTCTCTTGACAAATTTCTGAATGAATCATTGATCTGCACACATTACACTATAATCCAGTAATATGTTTATGAGGAAAACACACATACAAATTACCTCGCCAGTTCTGATTTCCCAAAAAAAAAATTTGACAAAACAAATTGGATACACTTGTTTAATGCTGGTCCAATCTCAATTCTTGAACAATTTTAGATATATTTCATAAATGGATAATATTTCAAACCATGCATTGTATTATCACTTTACTCTGATATTAATATTAATGTACTCTTACTGAAAGGATAAAACATAACAAACAAACATGCTACCGAAGAACTTTCTTCTATTTGTTTTAAAAATAAAATAAGAATCATTTCAGACCATGTCAGCTCTAATAAGCATCTTTGTTCATTTGTGTTAACCTAAAAACTATCATGATGTATAAATACATGCACATACAAAACCTGTGTAAGATCATTGTTAAAGATGATTGACAAACAACATGACTCCAAAAATCCCTTCCTCGAGAAAGGTAAAATATTAAATTTCTTCGGGAAGTGTTTTATTCCTCATTCCCCTCAAGGAAAGTACCCTCTTTTTCCAACTTTCCACATTAAAAGAAAGTGCTTTCTTTCATCAAGGGATTTTTTCCAAAGTGTACATTCTCCCCTCCATTTACCTCTTTCAATGCCTTGTTTATGAAGCATCCTTGAGCATCACTAGAAGATGCCCCCAATCTAAGCACCTGTAAAGAGGGTATTTGTGAGGATTGAATTGGTAGAGCTTGTGTGTGAGTCCAGCTATCAAAACTTTGGATATTTCAATACCTTCATAGGACAGAACCTTTATCAAACCAAAAAGGAGAATACAAATTAGCATGGACAAGAAGAGCCAAAACATGAGAAAAGGAGAGAGAGAGAGAGAGAGAGAGAGAGAGAGGAGAGTCATTTAGTTGAGCTGGAAAGCCAAAGCTTTAGTGGCCATGCTTGGCTTGTGGGTGGGAGGGAGAAGAGAAAGGCTAAGATATTGGAATTTTGTTGTTTGTATTAAAATTGTCGTAGCCCTGCAGTGGCTCTTTCTTGGGGGGCACAAAGCTGTTGCCAGGGTGGCACCCTAATATCTGTGGGTTATTGGACCTGTCAAAGTGGACATGTACTGTGGTCTGTGGTCATCCTCATTAATAAATCAAAATTTGAGTTGTTTTTCTACCATGATGATGATGATAATAATAATAATAATAATAATCCCTTCAAAACTTACCTTCACAAATTGTTATTACAAATAGTTTTTTTTATTTTTCTTATTTTTTACAAACTTTTAAAAGCTATCTAAGGCATGGTAAGTTTAATGTCCTGCTTGCTGGGGAATCAGCTTTCTGGTTGTATTTTACACTTTCAAGTCTGCTTGAAAAAACACTTCTCAATCTATTCTAATTGAAACAACATTATTCTATTGGAGTATGTGCTATACAAATGGTTCAAATCAAAATCTCATCTCACTATCTCCCCACCACAGATAATAATCCACAATTTTTCACATTGGGTAATTGGAATTGCTCATACAAAAATATCATTCCAAGTTGTTTTTGCTGTCATTACAACAAAAACCATTTTACCCAGAATGAATATATATATATATATATATATATGCATAGGTTTATATACAACCCTAGTCTTTCCAAATTTTATACAAATATGGATGATGGTTACAACCCATGAAAGGTTGTGTGAAGTTCCACTTAGACATCTAGTGATGCATTGAAGAAGAGATGCTCCCTGTTCTTTGGATTCATACCAATTTTGACTGCTGTTATCAATTCCAACACAAGAAGATTCCTTATACATTTCAACAGACACTGT